GCTGGTGAGATCTCGGGAGCCACCTCTGCCAGGGTGTGGACGTTCTGTCCTCTTGCATCTATGTCAGCCCTGGATTTAAGCCCCAGCTCTGCCACAGACAAGCCATTAGCCCCCTTTCCACTTGGAGTCTCAGTATATGTGTCTGTAAAATGGGTTTCGACCCAGGCTCTTTATTCCATGAAATACAATAACCAGAATGGGCAATACATTTTGTTTCTTGGTTTGTTTGTTTTCTTGAGTCAGAGTCTCCCTCTGTCACTGAGGCTGGAGGGCAGTGGCACACTCACAGCTACCACAGTCTCAACCTCCTGGGATCAGACAATCCTTCCCCCTCAGCCTCCCAAGTAGCTGAGACTACAGGCACATGGCTAGTTTTGGGGGCATTTTTTTGTGGAGACGAGTTCTCGCTGTATTTCCCAGGCTAGTCTCAAACTCTTGGGCCCAAGCAATCCTCCTACCTTGGCCTCCCAAAGTGCTGGGATTACAGGCGTGAACCACCATGCCCAGCCTTCGTTTCCTTTCTTACATCAGCTCCATTCAATTGAGAGAGGCTGTGGGGGGTGGTTAAACCATAGAAAGCTTCTCTCTCAGTTGGTAACAGCACTGCTGCAAGCCTCCTAGGTCCTCACGCCTTGCCCAGCTACCTTGGCCCTTCTCCCAGGGTCTGAGGTCTGCCTGTGATCCAGCACCTGAAGTGTTAATGCCTGGCACAGCGGGGAAGCCCCGGTCCTGCTCTGTGTCAGTCCTTAGTGCCTGGTTCCTCCACTGTCTCTCTCCTTGGCAGCCAGCCACAAAGCCACACTCGTGTCCAGCAGCGCAGCAGTGGTCAGTGCTCCCATACCAGGACAGTCAGCAGGCAGCCCCGCTGCTCTCAGCTGGGCTCTGCATGCGTCTGGGGTCGGCTGGCAGTTGGCTGACCCACTTGACCCCGGCTAGAGCAGTAAGGGTGCATCCTGTGTGTCCCTCATCCTCCCACAGGCCAGCCACGCGTGTGGTCACAGTGATGGTAGAGGTGCAAGGTGTGAGCCCTCCTGCCCTGTGTATTCCCGTATCAAGCCTCCGTTGACCTTGTGTGGCCAGAATCCCACTGGCCAAAGTAAGGCCTGTGACTGAATCCAGAGTCACCTGTGCTGGCCTGGCAGTCAGATAGGGACATGGGGATGTGGAGCCATGTGCCACCCACAACACCACCCCTACTGACCTGGGCAGGTAGCTTGAATATCACCTTGGAGTCCTGCGTTGAGAATGATTCTGAGCCGGCCTCTTGTTCAGCAGCAGATATGTTCTGATTGATTAGTGATGTCTGCCACAGGCACAGATGTGGGGGTGAACATGCTCTCTTGGTTTGGCAGCACAGCACATCTCTTCTCCCCTCTCCCAGCCCAGGCCTGAGTGGAGGGTCAGGGGTGGTCTGACCTTCTGTCTCTTGGTCTTTGTCCTCCTGCCCAGTGTTGGGCAGCGTCAGCTCGTGTGTCTGGCCCGGGCCCTGCTGAGGAAGACCAAGATCCTCGTGCTGGATGAGGCCACAGCGGCCGTGGACCTGGAGACAGATGACCTCATCCAGTCTACCATCCGGACGCAGTTTGACGACTGCACTGTGCTGACCATCGCCCACCGGCTCAACACCATCATGGACTACACAAGGTGATACCTGGCCTGAGTTCACTGACTCACTCCTTCACTCATTCGTTCATTAGTTCAGCACCATCCTTATGCCACGCCACAGTCCCGGGGTGGGGGTCCTCTCCCTCCCGGGTGGTACCAGGTAGTTCTGGCATCACCAACCATTCATCCCATCAACCTGTCTTCATGGCACACTGACCTCGTTCCCAGGACTGCTCTAGGCTCTGGGGGCCCGACAGGATGCTGTCGGACCAGGTCCTGCCTCAGAAGCCAAGCGGCTTAGCTGGGGAAGAGACAGCAGACAGAGCAACAGATCAGTGTGCCCCCAGAGGGCAGGAAGTGCTGGGGGGAAACGTAACAAGGGGACAGGACACTGACAGGTGGGGCCTGTGCATCCCTTGGGCATGGCAGGTGTCAGTGCCTGGGCCTGCCAAAGTCATCATGTGGCCCTGGTGACAGGGTTGGGGGACTTGAATTTGACATGGGTAGTCAGGGAAGGCCTCCCTGAGGAGGTGACATTTGAGCTGAGACCTGCATAATAAGAAAGAATCGGCCACAGGAAGATCCAGGACAGGGATCAGCAACCTTTTTCTGTGACGAGCCAGAATATTTGCGGACCATGGGGTCTCTGATGTTATAGCTTGAAAGCAGTCATAGGTAATATACAAATGAATGAGCATGGCTGTGTTCTAATAAAACTTTATTCATAGCTGGATGTGGTGGCTTATGCCTGTAACGAGGATTGCCTGAGCCCAGGGGTTCAAGATCACTCTGGACAACTTGGCGAGACCTCATCTCTACAATAAGTCATAAAATTAGCCGGGCATGGTGGCACACCATGTAGTTCCAACTTCTTGGAAGGCTGAGGGGAAAGGATCGCCTGAGCCCAGCGGGTCGAGGCTGCGGTAGCCATGAGCGAGCCACTGCACTCCGGCCTGGGAGACAGAGTGGGACTCTGACTCAAAACAAAAAATGTATTCATAAAAACAAGCGGTGGGCCAGCTTTGGCCTGAAGGCCAACAGTTTGCCAACCTTCAATCTAAAGGAAGAAGGCACAGCCACGTGTAAATGCCCAGTGATGGGAACGCCCTTACTGAGTGTGAAGGCTAGCAAGAGGCCACTGTGTCTGGAGGCTGGAATGGCGGGGACAGTGGTAGGAGATGACGCCAGAAAGGTAGGCAGCGGCTGGGTCTGAGAGCACAACGTCTGGGACTTTTCCGGAGGTCACTGTAAAGCCGCTGGAAGGATTTAAGCAAGGAAGTGACATGATGTGCTTAAATCACTAAGCACACCTGCTGTGTGACAGGCGCTTTTTTGGTGCTTTGTGTGTGTGTGTGTCAGCGTCAGAGTCTCACTCTGTCACCCAGGCTGGAGTAAAGTGGCACGCTCACGGCCACGGCATCCTCTATCTGCTGGGAGCGATCCTTCTGCCTCAGCCTTCCAAGTAGCTGCAATTGCAGGCATGCGCCATCATACCCAGCTAATTTTGTTTGATTTATTGTAGAGACGAGGTCTCGCCAAGTTGCCCAGGCTGATCTCGAACCCATGGGCTCAGGCAATCCTCTCATCTTGGCCTCCCAAAAGTGCTGGGATTACAGGCTTGAGCCACCGTGCCTGGCCAGTGTTGGCGCTTTTGAGATCCCAGGGGACACAGAAACAAGGACCTAGATTACTTGATGTCAGCAAACTGTGGCCCACAGGCCAAATCCAGTCCCCTGCTTGATTTTATGAATAAAGTTTTATTGGTCCACAGCCATGCCTGTTCATTTTCCTATTGTTTCTGACTGTGTTCACACTAAAAATACAGCAGAAATGAGTCGTTATAAAGAAGAACCTAGAAGATGTGCTGACCCCCTTTGTAGACTATGGTAAAACCCTTGTATTTTATTCTAAGTGTAATGGAACAATGAATGTGAACAGTTGACACTCTTGTCATTGTTACTGTTCCCACCATTGTTGAGGTGGGTAGCTATTAAGGAGGTAGCCTCAAGGAGTTTGACATGGAATAGACATAGGATTGAGGGCGGGCAACTAGCTGGAAGGCTCCTGCCGTGGCTCTGGCAGAAGATGTCAGGGGCCTGGCCCAAAGCAATGGCTTGCCCAAGTGGGTCCAGGGGGCACAAGCTGCCAACCCCTTTCCTGCCCCTCATGTTTGTATCCCCTCCCACTGTAGGGTGATCGTCCTAGACAAAGGAGAAATCCGAGAGTGTGGGTCCCCCTCCGAACTCCTGCAGCAGAGAGGTCTCTTCTACAGCATGGCCAAAGATGCTGGCTTGGTGTGAACCCTGCTGCTGGCATGTCTGGTCAGAACTGCAAGGCCAACATGCCAGTGTCCAGGGATGAATCAGGAGCCTTGGTAAGTCAAGCCTCTCCTACCAAAACCAAAAAAAGAGGAAAACCAAATCCAGAAACCCAAAACACACCCAGAGCAGCTGCCACCGTCCAGCCCTCTCACCCGGAGTAGGCTGTGAAAACCCAGGAAAGGCACGGAAAGGCATCCTGCTTGGGGCAGGCACACCCTGCCTCGGGAATCCTAAGGAGACGCACACCCAGCCCCACGCCCCTGGGAGTGAAGCGTGCGCTCCTGGTGCCCCACACAGAGGAGCTTTGAAAGCAGCCTGACTCCTGGGGAACTGATTGTGTAGAACATGCTAGCCACCAAATCCTGCCAACTGCCTCCAACTCTCCAGTGAAGTCTGTGATTCTGGGTCCTCGCGACGTTCCTGGCCCCGCCAGCTCTTCCCATCGCCTCCCACCTCCTCGTCGGGTTCTACCCAGGATGCAGCCTTTCTTGAGGCTGCAGTTTTGAGATGAACATCATTCTTGCCCGTGGGCAGCATACCAGGGGCCTGGGTGCTCATCCTTCCTACGTCTGGTCTTCCAGGCACTCAGTTGCTGGGAACCGACACCCCAGTGCTGCCTCCACCAGTGCTTGCGCCAGAGGTCTGAGGCGGCCTGTGCACCCCCGCTCCTGTCCTCCTCGAAGGACTTGGTTGCACTGACAGATGACCCCGACCTGGAACTCCAGAGCCAGGGATGGTCGACGGGGCTGACTGCAGCTGGGCTCCCCATCCCCACCATCCAGCCTTCCTTTCCTTCCTGCCTCTTTTCTTTGCTCCTCTCGGTACCTGAAAGAGACACAGGTCCCAAAATACAGAGCATGAGGTCCCTCCCAAGTACTACTGGTCGGTACCAAGAGTTCCCCCAGAGCTTCTCATTTTCGATTCTAATTTCTCGCCCCTGGCATCTGGTTAGCCACCAGGGGGGCAGCAGTGTGGGGACCCTGAGATTTCGTTCCTGATTCCCTTCCAGGACAAGAACCCACTCTTGAATATCAATGATTTTTTTTTCTTTAAATACTGCTCCAATGAGAAAACCAGTCTCGAGACTTTGGTTTCGTGGGCGGAAAAGCATTGGATCAGGGAGCAGCCTTCCCAGGGGACAGCCAAAAGCCGGCCTGTTTGTGGCCGCTGGTCCCCGAGCTCCTGGAAGAAACAGAGAAGCGGAGGCCTTCCAAGCCTGTCCTGCAAATGTCTCGGCTGGGGCCCAAGTGACATCCTGAAGGTGGCGGGAGCCGCGGCTGCCCCAGGCTCATCCTTGCCATGAATTACGTTGCTGACTTCAAACCCAGAGAGCATCTTTCTTTTAGGTGAAAATATATATTTATTTTTTTGTAAGTTATACCATTCTTTCACGTTAGATAAACCACGTTTTTCTTGGAGATCTTTTTGTAATGACTTACACTGGAAACGTGAACATTTGCAGTAAAAAAAAATATTTTATTTCTTTCTAAACGACTGTTCCATTTTCTTTGGGGCGTGGAGTTCCTGCAGTCTTTAATGGGTCAGGGTGTGGCATCTTCCTATCTGCTTCTGGTCTTTCCTTCTGGCCAACTTGTCATCTCTAGTGGGAGCCATTGTCAGAGACAGAAAGTCTAGAGGTCAGACATTGAGTGGGGATTGGGGGGTGGACAGCGCAGACAGAGTCCAGGCTTCAGGGTTGGACAGACCTGGGCTTGAGTCCTGCTTTCGCCATTTGCTGGTCGTGTGACCCTAGGAGAGTCGTGTGGCCTCTGTGCCTCAGTTTCTTGGTCTGTAAAACAAGGCTGGTACTGCCTACCTCATGGGATTGTTATGAAGTTGAGCAGTGACGTGTGTGATACACAAAGCCTAGGTCAGGCTCTTAGACACAGGTGAGGCAAAAATCGCACATGGCCAGATTGACACTTAAAAAGTCTCTCTGTGTTAGGATAGGTGAGGCTGTCCAGCAGTAACCAACAGCCAAAGACTCTTGGGAAATGAATACAAGAGTTTATTTCTTGCTCATACAATTGTGTGTGTGTGTGTGTGTGTGTGTGTGTGTGTGTGTGTGTGTGTGTGTGTGTTTTATTAGAGATGAGGTCTTGCTGTGTTGCCTAGTCTCTAATTCCTGGGCTCAAGTGATCCTCCCGCCTCAGCCTCCCAAAGTGCTGGGATTACAGACATGAGCCCCTCTGCCTGGCCACGTATACAATTCTTGATGAGGGTCAGATGCCTTTCCAGGTATTCGCCTTCCATGTAGTGGCTGATCCTGACTTGTGGTTTTACGACATCGCCTCTCCAGGGCTGGCTTCCAGGTTCACACAACAGGGAAAGGGAAGGTGGATGACTGGCACCCCCTCTTTATCTCAGACCTGGAGCGACACAGGCAGTCCCACTTGCAGCCCATGGGCCCAGGAGAGTCACATGACCCCAGCCAAGCCATAGAGGAAGGTGGGAATGCAGGGCTGTCTGTGGGAGAGTATTTCTCCCCATTCTAATGGATGTGGTTTCCAGGTTTTGGACAGTGGGGCAGTTTGGTTTCCGACTCTGGATTGGGTGAGTCTGGGTAGCGAGGAATGCCTTATTGGGGAGCACATGGTTCTGCCACACCTGAGACCACATGCCAAGTGGTGCAGATGGAACGTTCTAGCACTGCCGGTTTTCCCTCAAGCATTGCTGTCCCTTGATTTAAATCCTTGGCCTGCATCGGGGACCTTGGCATATGAAGGTGCCCAGGTAAAAGCTGGTGAGGTCACAACCACTGGAATTAGCTGTGTTTGGATCTGCTGGTGGGGGTCTTAATTCAGATGTGAGATGTGCTTCTGTGTCAGAGCATGGCCCTAAGGATTAAAATCCCAGGTCAGATCCTAAGCAGGTCTGGAGGCTTCTGCCTGGTTGGCATCTGTGGGTGTGTCTTGGGGTGGGGCAGCTGGGTGCTCTGGTGAATCCAGGGTTCACGTGTAACCTGCTTGATGAAGAGGTGGCATCGGCCCCCCTCCAGCTAGCTGCTGCGGCACCGGGGAAGGAAGTTTTGTTGTGCCTCTATTCTGTGTCGGCCCTGGGCTCAGCCTTTGCAAAGCTCTTCTCATGGGAAGGGTCCCCCCAGGCTGGAGAGGAGTGAGAAGCCAGGCTAGTGCTCTCCAGGGTCGGGCTGCTCAGCCGTTTTCACCCCCACCCCCCACACTCCCCTGCCAGACCTGCAGCAGATTCGGTGACTTTCTGCAAAGCATTCAGAACCTGACCACTCCAGGCTGCCACCACGCTGGTCCCAGCCACCGCCCTCCCTCCCACATCCTCACACGGCACTGTCCCCCTGGGCCCATACTCTGCTTCCTGGCATGTTCTGAGAGCTGGTGGCCCTGAAGCAAGCCCAGCGGGGGTGACCAGATGCACAGCAGCCTTGGCCTGTGATCCTGCAGGGAGGCCTAGTGGCGGCTCAGCTCCCAACTGAGAAGTAACAGGCTACACCCGGCACCTTCCCCTCAAACACAGACATGCCCCATGTGATGACTTGGCCCTTGGCATCAGACCCAGGAGCCATTCCCCACTCTGCCACAGTGACCTTGGCACACTATGGCAACTGCCCAAGCCTCAGTTTCCTCACCTGCAAAATGGAACAAATGGAACTGGTTGTAGGTAGTAATAGTGGGCCCAGGGCTTTGCCAGCATGGGGGCGGCAGGCGAAAGCTGGGACCCATCCCATTTTGAAGACACCCAGAGGAGGCAGAAGCTGCAGTTCCATCTAGATTTAGATTACTCTGGACTGAGGGGGGGAAGTCACAGGCCCCCTGTCGGGATGGGCCATCAGGATGACCCTGAGGTCTGGTGGGTGGAGCCGGCCCTGTGTCCTGGGGAGCAGGTGGCAGCCTCAGGCCCCTCCTGACACCAACACTGCCACTGCGCCCAAGTATTGGCGGATTATCAATGGCCATGGGGCATGTGAGCCGGAGATTCTCAGCTAGGGCGATTCTGACCCCCTGGGAGCACATAGCAGTGTCTGAGATCCTTTTTTTTCTTGAGATGAGATCTCATTGTCATCCATGCTGGAGTGCAGTGGCACTATCCTGACTTACTGCAGCCCTGATCTCCTGGGCTCAGACGATTCTCCCACCTCAGCCTCCTGAGTAGCTGAGATTACAGGCGTGTGTCACCATGCCTGGCTAGTTTTTTTTCTTTTCCTTTTTCTCTTTCTCTCTCTCTTTTTCTTTCTTTTTTCTCTCTTTCTCTTTCCCTTTCTCTCTCTCTCTCTCTCTCCCTTTTTTTCAGATGAGGTCTTGCTATATTGCCCAGGCTGGTCTTGAATTCTGTTACTCAAACAGTCCTCCTTCCTTGGTCTCCCAAAGTGCTGGGGTTACAGGCATGAGCCACTGCACCTGGCCAGACTTGTGGCTTTCAACAGCATCTATAATGGAAAAGTGAACAGGAACTCTGGGTGTTCCTATGGCTGTGGGGACTCCCCCACGAACCTGGAACTTGGGGTCTTCTGACAACATGTAAGAAAAGCACCAAGTCCTGGTCAGTCCTCCCAGTGGGGCTGAGAAGTCCCACCTCTGTGTTCAGTTTTGTGGACTAAACTTGCACACTGGACTTGCTCATACCCAGAGAGGCCCCATTCTTGGCATGAGGGGACCTAGCTGGTGTGTCCTTGGAGCTCATGTCAGGGTGGAGGAGCAGCAGGAGGGGTGGGGCATAGTTCTCAAATCCTGGCTGCACACTGCAATCACATGGGGAGCTTTAAAAGCACAAACCAAAGTGAGGATGGGCTTGGTGGCCTCATGCCTGTAATCCCAGCACTTTGAGAGGTCAAGGTGTGAAGATCGCTTAAGCCCAGGAGTTTGAGACCAGCATGGTCAATAAAGCAAGACTCCTGTCTTTACAAAATAAAAATGAACTGAGTGCAGTGACATGCGCTTGTATTCCCAGCTACTCAGGAGGCTAGTCAGGAGGACTTGAACCCAGGGGGCTGAGGCTGTAGTGAGCCACAATCGTGCCATTGCACTCTAGCCTGGATGATGGAGTGAGATCCTGTCTCTTACGGGGGAAACATATACACACACACCCCAAATGAACCTGGGGTTGCTGGGGGTGGGAGGGAGGTGGGCGTGGTTACAAGATGGGAACATGAGGGTCCCTGTGGGGCTGGTACCACTCTGTGTCCTCACTGTGGGGCGGATGCACGCATCTACACATGTGATGAAACTGCACAGAACTGCACATACACACAAGCCAAATGGGAAATCTGAGCAAGACTGATATATTGTATCAATGTCCCCGTCTTGGGTGTTATTGTCCTAGAGTTTTGCAAGATGTTACCATTGTGAGAAGTGAGGGAAGGTTACACGGATCTCTCTGTGTTACTATTTCTTACATGTGCTTGTGGGTCTAGGATGGTCCCCTAGTAAAAGGGTTAATTTGTAAGACATCCACACACCTGCCATCCCCAGCCCCAGAGATTCGGATTTAATAGGTCTGGGCAGAGCCTGCACGTGGTTGTCTTCAGGCTCCCCAGGTGAGTCCAGGAGGCAGCTGGGGCTGAGAGCCGCCTCATCATTGGCTCCAGGGTGGACAGAGCAACTTGGGCTGGCCTGGGTCTGTGGTCATCATCAGCCATTTTCCTCCCAGACAGCAGAAGGGTCTAGGCTCAATGTTGCATGGAGCCCCTGATGACCCCAGGTCACTTGCTTCTCCAGGGTGCTGCAGGCTGACCCAATGTGGGGGACCATTGCCAGCCGGGATCATACCAGGCCCGACTCCTGGGCCAACCTGTAGAACAAGCCCTTTTGGGCCAGCAGCTGAGCTGGGCTGCCACTCTCTGCCACCTGCCCCTCATTCATGACCAGCACCCTGCGGGTGAGAAGAAGACAGGGCAGCCCTCTAGACAATGGCCCAGGCTATCAGCAGCTCTGAGAGCCCAGCGTGCCTGCACTGAGGTTTTCTCCCGACCCTGACAGCAGGGTTGGAGCATCTGTTGGGCATGTGTCCCCAGCACCCGTCCCACTGGGCCAGTGTTTGGGGGCATCCCTCCCCTTCCAGCTGCATCCAGGGCCCTTCAGCTGTCCACCCTGTACCCTGTGTCCCAGGCCTGCATCTGCCCCCTCCCCCACCATGGTGGGGTTGCCCTGGAATCCTAATGGGGTTGGGAAGGGTCTTACCGGGCGCAGTCCATCACAGAGCGCAGGCGGTGGGCAATAAGCAGCACTGTGCACTGCGCAAACCAGCCCCCTAGGGCGGCCTGCATCTGCTGCTCAGTGCCCGGGTCCACGGCGGCCGTGGCCTCGTCCAGGATGAGGATCTGGGTTCTCCGGAGAAGGGCACGTGCCAGACACAGGAGCTGCTTCTGACCCACACTGGGAACAAGCGGGAATGTTAGGCCAGGGGCTGGTTTGCCTGCATGGCACGATATACGGGGCATGCCCTCCGATGGGCCCCTGTGATGGTGCAGAAGGAGGGAGGTGCCTATGTGTGCCTGTCCCCACATGGAGGGCCTGCGATCTGCCAGGTGGGTAGAAGTCCCTGCCCTGCCATCTTTGTGCAGGCCTGCTTTAGGCAAGTCGTTCAAACCCTTTGCAACTCGGTTTCCCTACCTGGGAAATGGCTGTCTTTTCTTTTCTTTTTTTAAGTGTTCTGTTCTATGGTCTTTACCATGTGCCAGACACACTCGAAGTGCATGTGTCTACATTGACTCAGTCCTCATAATGACCTCCCATGGCTCTCTTCTTTTGAGAGAGGAGGAAACAGATACAGAGAGGTTAAGCAGCTTGACTAAGGTCACAAAGTTAGAGGTAGATGCAGAATATGAATCCAGGTCCTCTGGCCCCAGAGTCTGTACTCCTAGCGGGGTCTTCCTCACAGAGTTGCGAAGATGAGATGGGGCATATAGCAGTGGTGTGCTTGTTGCAGAGTAAGCCCCTGGCATAAAGTATGTCCCCTAATTACAGGCAGGGAAGTTAAAGATCACGGTCCTGTGGCCATGAGACTTCTGACCCCGATGCAAACGGGCTCCGGGGGACCTGGCGTGGCTGGGGCTGCCTCCTGCCAGGTTCTGCTGCCTCTCCCAGTAAACCCTTCCACGAAGCAGTGTCCCTTCAGAGAACCAGAGCCTACCACGGTCCTGCAGGTATCGGGGTGCCTGTGCCTTCCCCCAGCCTCACTGTGTACAAGTCGGGTGACCCCGGACAAGTCTCAGGCCTCAGATCCCAACTCTGTGAAATTGGGTTGACAAGAGTGTGGCTCTGAGGATTAAGATGAATATTTCCTATACACCAGGCACTGTCTCCACAGCTTTGCACATATAACTCACTTCATCCTTGCACAGGTAGATAAGAGGTATTATTTCCATTTTACAGATGAGGAAACAGATGCAGGAGATTAACTTGCCCAAGGTCCTACAGCTGGTGAGTGGGGGAGCCTGGGCTTGAGACCCGGCAGTCTGGAGCCTGCATGTATGCTCACTCACCGAGCAACAGTGCCTGTGCCTCTCTAGCTGGAAACCATGGCCTCCCACAGGCCTCTCATGGGCCTCCCATGGTCCCTTCTAACACCCTCGAGGTCAGAGGGTTTAGGAATCCAGAATGTCTCCAGGTTTTTGTTTTTTGCTGTTTTGTTTTTTGAGACATGATCTCACTCTGTTGCTCAGGCTGGAGTACAGTGGCACCATCATGGCTCACCACAGCCTCAAACTCCTAGGCCCAAGAGATCGTCCCATCTGGGTGGCTTGTGAGACTCAAAGCTGAGATCACAGGTATATGCCACCATGCCTGGCTATTTTTTTTTAAAAATTTTTTGGTAGAGGTGGCGCCTTGCTGTATTGCCCAGGCTGATCTCCAACTCCTGAGCTCCAGCGATCCTCCTGCCTCAGCCTCCCAAAGTGCTGAGATTACAGGCATGAGCTCCTGTCCCTGGCCTGTCTCAGTTTTTTTAAAAGGCATGTACCTGCACAGCAGTATAATTCGCGATAGCCAGAAGGTAGAAACAACCCAGGTTATTTATCAACACATGACTGGAAAGCAAAATGTGGCCTATCCCTGTAGAGGAATCTTATTCAGACTTGAAAAGGAAGGACATCTGGACAGAGGCTACAACATGGATGAACCCTGAGAACATCATGCTAAGGACAGAAGGCCGTCACCAAAAGACAACTACTGTGTGAGCCTCAGAGGTATCTAGAATAGGCAAACTCAGAGACAAAAAGTGTCAGAGGCTGAAAAGAGGCCGTTTGGGTTACATTAGAAGAGTCATCTAGAAAAGTCTTAAAAACTCGTGTTCTTTTGTAGCTGATTTGGGCTAAACGTAAAAGTCACTTAAATTCAAAAGTAAACATTTTCTCCATCCCTCCACCCCCTCCCCCTCCTCTTCCAGCACAGCTTTGCCCGACTGTACTGGCCAGTCTTCTCTAGTAGCCATTGCTGGTGCTGAAGAACAGCTAGCCACAAGCCAGACCCACAGATGACGAGGAGAGTGTTCCAGGGCCAACAGGGGTGTGTCTGAAAGCCTGGTGCGAGCACTGCCCACCTCCCCTCCATCTTGTGAATACGAGGACATCAGACTGTTATGGGCCAGGCTCTGGGAATAGATGAAATTGGGTTGGTGAGAGTGTGACTCGGGGAATAGAAGATGAAACAATTTTGTTGGAAGACAAATTTTTTTTTTTGAGTCAGAGTCTCACTCTGTCACCCAGGCTGGCGTGCAATGGCATGCTCATGGCTACCACAGCCTCGACCTGCTGGACTCAGGCGATCCTTCCACCTCAGCCTTCCAAGTAGCTGGAACCACAGGCATGGAACCACCATAGAGACGAAGTCTCGGCCATGTTTCTCAGGCTGGTTTCAAACTCCTGAGCTCAGGCATTCCTCTCACCTCTGCCTCCCAAAATACTAGGATTATAGGTGTGAGTCACTGCACCTGGCTTAAAACAATTTAAAACTATCATTTTAAATGTTGTGATTTTCCTTTCCTTCCAAATGTTGCAACTGTCCGCCCCTTCCTCTAAAAAAAAAAAAAACCTATATGAGAACATATTGTAAATTCCAAAATGTTATCTAAAATGAGCATGGCCAGGAGACTGTCTTGTCAGTGGTCACATATTACAAGTTGTCAATATAAGTCTTGAATCATGATAACACTACATGTAGACTTCAAACTCTGGGTGGGCACAGGACTATGAATTTGGAGTATAAATACTGGAATGAATTTGTGTTGGTGGGGGTGGGCTTTTTGGCAGTAATGCTGACCCATCTCCCTATACCTTTGTTACAGAAATTAATCACCCCCTTTTCTCCCAGTCTCTTGATGGGATCCGGCCATAACAAAAGTCTAGTTGTGTTTGTCAGGGCCTGGGGGAAGGGGAAGTGCATATGAATATACCCAACCCTACTGAAATTGTACACTTAAAAAAGGTTGAGATGGTAAATCGTATGTGTATTTTTCCACACCTAACATTTTCTGGCCAGAGTGGTGGCTCACACCTATAATCCCAGTACTTTGGGAGGCTGAGGTGAAAGCATCACTTGAGCCCAGGAGTTCGAGACCATCCTGGGCAATGTAGAGTTGAGCCCAGGAATTCGAGACCAGCCTGGGCAATGTAGAGAACCCTATTGCTACAAAAAAAAGTTTAAAAAAAGTAGCCTGGCATGGTGGTGCGCACCTGTAGTCATGGCTACTTGAGAGGCTGAGGCCGAAGGATCGCCTGAACCCAGGAGATCGAGGCTGTGGTGAGCCAAGATTGTCACTGCACTCCAGCCTGGGTGACAGAGTGAGATTCTGACTCAAAAGAAAAAAAAACAGGATTATAAATAGCCTCATGTCTGTTGAGGTTGAGTCTGTCACCAAATAAATTTAGGAAGCTAATTTTTTGGGAAAAAAAGCTTGGTATTCAGAGACCATGTTAGAGTCTGGAATTGCAGCTAGGAGATGTGTGGTTATTAAATCAGAATGAGGTTGATCATCCTAGAGGGAGGCCCTTCCTGGAGGCCCCAGGGGAGAACCCGGCCATCCTCCACTCTCTCCCCACCTCTCCCAGGACCCGCCATGCAGGGGTGGCCCCACCTCAGGTCCTCGCCCCGGTCTGCACACTCGTACTGCAGCTGGCCGGGCAGACTGGCCACCAAGGCCTTGAGCTGCACGGTCTCCAAGGCCTCCCAGATGGCTTGGTCTGAGTGCTCCTGGAGCAGGTCCAAGTTCATCCGCAGGGAGCCGGGGAACAGCACGGGGTCCTGGCAGGAGGGACGGCGGTCAGCGCAGGGCCCCGCTGTGCCTCCCACC